TACTGACAAAGAGCATGAAGAGTGAGAAAGAGGGGACTCAGAGTAAATTCTTAATTCTCTATTTCCTTCCTATTGCTCTCTAAGTCACGAGGTGCACTTTTACTTCTGCTTTCTTGATGGGGCTCTTTACAATTTTTTAGCTATCCTTCTTATCTTAAAATAAGATTTATATTTTAAAATTTTATATTTTATATATTTTATATAGGTGAGAATGTCTTATTTGTAATTTCTATATCTGGAATAAAGTTTTGTTTCTTGTTTTGTGAAGTTTTCTTTGACCAGCATCTTGTTCAGCTTGTCATATATTAGATTTTTTTTGCCTGATGTCAGATGGCTGCTGCATGTAAAAGGCATGTAGATGTCTTTTGTAATTTCTCCATGCAGAAATAGAGTCTTTATATCAAGGTGGTGGATTTGATGTGTTTTGCTGCTGCTACCTACCTTATTTTTCGGACAATAAGATGTACCGGTGTATAAGACGCACCAAGATTTCGAAGAGGTAAGTAAGAAAAAAAGTTTTTGTCCTCCCTGGCCCCAGGAGCACTCTGCAGGCTTCAGCCGGGCAGGGGGAGGCAAAACGCCCCCATTTTTGCAAATTTTTGCAAAAAATGGGTGGAAAATGGGACATTTTTTGCAAACATGGGGGCATTTTTGCAAAAAATGGGATGCAGGGCAGACCTTCAGGAGGCCAAAAATGGTTGTATTTGGTGTATAAGATGCATCAAACATTTCCACCCTCTTTTAAGGCAGGAAAAGGTGTGTCTTATACTCCAAAAAATACGGTATATTGAGCAGTATTCTTATAAAATTATCCTTGACTACCGGTACAAATATCTCACCATAGTCATACAGCTAGTCCTTGACTTACAGTCACAACTGAACCCTATTTTTCTGTTGCTGTAAGTTTTGTCCCATTTTACAACCTTTCTTACCACAGTTGGTAAGTGAATCATTGAAGTTGTTAAATCTGTTACATGGTTGTTAAGTGAATTTAGTCCCCCATTGACTTTGCTTGACAGAAGGTCACAAAAGGTGATCCCAGGATTCTGGGACACTACAACCATCATAAATATGATTGAGTGTCTGAATTTTGATCACATGACCATGGGAATGCTGCAATTGTTGTAAGTGTGAGAAACAGTCATAGCTCATTTTTCCAGTGCCATTGTACCTTCAAACAACCACTAAATGAACTGCTGTAAGTCAAGGATTACCAGTACTTCTGAATGTATTCCTTGGCCCTCAATTTAGTTTTATGGTATGGAGTTCCTCTTTTGCATTATCTGCATAGTCTTGAAAACAACTACATCCCATGGTTGTATTTCTTACAGGAAACTTGACAAATGTAATTCTTGTGGAGTACTTCATTCTCTTCTTCTGTAATCTTTCTCCATTTCCCTCCTTTGGTGGCTCTCATCTCTTCAGTGTCCTTCCATGTGGCAGGGATCTTTCCACTTGTTCCTTCTTGCCAAGTGAGAAAGCCTTGGAACACTTTTGTTGGACTTAACAGCATCTGGCTGCAATGCATTAGTTTCCTTGTGTAGCACTGTCACAAAGTCAACTTCTGGGCATGCAAGGATGTCTTAGGAAATTTGTAATCTCTGTTTGCTCTTTGCCTGGATATAGAAACAAAAACTGACACCTTATTTTGTCTCTAGGATACAGATTACTGAATTTCGTGAAGAAAAACTGCAGCTTCAATACTTTGCATTTTACCTCATGTTCCATTGTCTGGACAAAATATTTGAGGCTTTTCTGCACCTAAATTGCTGGTTTGCTTAGACCACTTATTTGAATTTCTCCAGAAAGACTACACCTCACTCTTTTCACTGATCAAGTAAGAAAATAAGTATCTTGTTTGATGATGCAAGGAGGTCTTTCTTTTCTATATAAGCTAGTGATATGCTAGACCCTAGGCACAAATATTTTTCTCTTTTCATTTATAGACTTATGCCTTTGGCATTTACACAACATTGGCATCAAGACTGATTTGTACATGAATTTACTGCTTGAACTAAGCCCTCCAATTTACAAACAGAACGTAAATCCATTTTGCTGGAAAATCCCTTTCATATGCAATTGCGCACTCTCAGTTATATAAGAAGGATTGTCTATAAATCTTATGCCACATCCTTTTATATAGGATACATTTTATTGAAAGGAAATTTGCTTCCGATCTGGGATATATAAAGCATCTTTCTTTGTTAAATTGAGCACCTTTCCTTTGCCTAGTGCACAATTTTCAGAGCCTCTCCCATCTGAGGTGATCTTTTGTCAACTTGTCAAATAAATGGCAAATTTGTACTAAATTTATATCAGTGAATCTTCTCTCTTTAATGAAATTAAATGTTGTAGCAGAATCAAAACATATGATATCTGATGGTCCATTTGTTCTTGCATTCATTGCTTGATCTCCCTCTGGCTTTTTAAAATACTGGTCTGAGATGAGTCATCCTATGAAATGCAGTCTAATGGCTCCGTCATTTCTCACTTTCCTTAGGACAAGTGACTTGCAAATGATTCTAGGCCATTGCAAATGAAATTTTCCTTCCTTTTTCTGGCCTTGCAAGCAGATTCTTCAGTGAGAACTGCTTTTTGCACTTGATATTTATACAGATTATAATCTTGCAAACAGTGAATTACAGAATTAATATCAGTTTCTTTTTTTATTTCTATTGTATACACTGCAGCTTGGTAAATTCTAGCAAATGGACTTAAAAAGTAAGCAGCTAGTATTAAATCTGCTCAAAATGAGTGATTTATGGTCTCCCCCTCCCCTCTCTCTGCAGTTTTAGACTATAAACTTGTTGTTTATAGTCTGTTATACTTTATACTTCTGTTTAAAAAAATTACCTTTGAGTGTGTGGATTTTTTTTTTCTCAAATAAGCCTGAGCAGATTTCTCAACTATCTATGGTTTGATTTAAGTTCCTTAAATGGAGTCACTCACCACCAAGCATATTATTCCAGTTACTTTGTGGTCTGTTCCCTCCGTGGATGCTCCTAACAAGTGACTACCCTGATTTACTGAGTCTCTGTTTGCCAAGAAAAAAGGTGATTCCTTGAGACTGAATCAGAGTCTCAATCAGAGATATAATTACGGTCCTTACAACTTCTCCATGGGCTGAAAGTTTCTGATTCCATTTCTGAAAGTGGCCTCTTTCTTTTTCTAATCTTGTCCTTTAGAAGAGGCTCTCCTCTCTCCTTTATGGAACCTTTTTAGTACTGTATTGGTGGTTACAGTGACTAGGATTCTGTCCAAGTGTTCTCTATGTGTCTGTGCGAATCTAATGTGTCCATTTATTCTCCATAGCACTTGGAGATAGGACAAGAACAGGTATGGGTTCCAGCAGAGACTACTGCTGGTTCGTTCAGGGACGTGCCATGCGCGCTGCATGCGCAGTACAATAAAAATTGCTCTGGCAAGCAAAATACAACATGGTGCCACCTGGATAACTGGTTTGGAGGTGTGGCAGGCCTGGGTCACTGCCGGTCCAGCGACCCAGGTCACCAAACTATTACCGGTTTGGCTGAACTGGTCTGAACCCAGTAGGAACCCACCACTGAACAAGAAGTAATGCATGGATGCTCATCAGGGAGAGATGCAACCTGGCAATAAGGAGAAATTTCTTCACAGTAATAACTGTTAAGTAATGGATTTGCTTGCCTCCTGAAGTTGAGGGGGTTCCATTGCTTGAGGTTTTTCAAGAAAAGATTGGACAACGATTTATCTGAGATGGTATGAGGATTCCTGCCTTAGGCTAGAAAAATCTTTTAAGATATCTTCCAGCCCTATGATTCTATAAGTCTTTATTAAATATATATAAACTACTAAAACCTGCATGTCTGTTAGTTTGTAGCACTAGCACTTTGGCTTGTATAGTGCTTCGCAGTTCTTTACAGCCCTCACTAAGTAGCTTACAGAGTCAACATATTGCCCCTAACAATCTTGTCCTCATTTTACCAACCAAGGATGGAAGACTGAGTCGATCTTGAGCTGGTCAGGATCAAACTGCTGGCAGTGAGAAGTGTTAGCATGCAATACTGCATTCTAACCTGTGTCTGAATATGTGCATTCTAACTATGTCACCACAGCTCTTGTAACTTTCAGTTGGGAGAAATGGTGTCTCAACCATTTTTTTTTGCATCAATACATCTCAAATGGGCTAATTTACAGATCTAAAATCTGAGACCATGATTCCTATGAGATTAAAATTTTGAAAAGTTGTGGTCACTTCATTTCTGCCATGCTGCTGCACTGATGTGGTCAGACTGGATCACATAATCATCATTTTTACTGCTTCCTGCTAGCTTTGTACAATGAAAGACAATGGGGAACCTGGTAGGACATCAGAAGTCACTCGCCTCCCACTGCTTTTCTACCTGCCCAAAGTCATTATGTTTCTCTATTTAGTAAAAAAATATATCTGAAAAGATGACCCAATGGCTCACAGGTAACCTAATTATATTTAGAATCCCCAGAGTTCTATTCTTGTCATTATTATTTTTTTCTTTTTGCAGTTCACTGATTCTCCATGAGAAAGTACTTTATTGTAATAAAGAAATAATGCAAACAAAACAATGGGGTGTTGGGAATAAGAAAAAGATAAATTTGGACTTAAAAATTGTTACTGGATTTTAATAAAATATTACAGTAATTCTCTATCTTATCCATGTTTTGTGGTTGTAGAATATGTGTAAAAAATTAATAATCCTAACAATTTTACAATGAAATGCCTTATCAAATTATTGAAACAATCAGCATATACATTTAGAGCTGTAGCTTTCTACAGTCATGATACTTCCATAACAATTTCTGTTTACTAGTGTTATATAAGAGACTATAAATTTTAAACAAATTAGGCTTCTTTGCCACCAGGATAATCTGTGCAGTTGACCAACACTTTTTGATGCTCCAGAAACCATCATATAGTTAGAGTGACACAAACAACAGCAAACATTATTTTAAAAGAAAAATATTCTCAGAATATTTTTTTTTACCTCATAGAGGTGCTGAAAGTTTTTTTTTATGCAGAATGGTAGTACAAGAAAATGATGGTATTTCTTTGACACTATAACGTCCTTTGCAATATAGTTTTGCTTTCACAGGTGCTGCTGGGGGAGGGAAAAACAAAGAGAGACAGTTTCCAGTTTCAAGATTTTTAGACTACAGTTTTCAGACAAAATATGTTGAAGAATGGAAACAAAAAAAATGAATCATTAGGTAACTAATGTATGTAAAAATTAATCACCATAGTTACAAAAGATGTCAGATGAATGACTTCCCAGGAAAATTAACTAAATCTACACATACAAAAGAAAAGAAATCTTTCAAACAAGACAATATTCTGGAGAATTTTATTGGTCTGGTGCCCAAGGACATTAGTGACTATGTTTCTTTAGTTTTAGTCATGTATAGAAGCAAAATTTAAACAGGAATTGCTTTGATGAAGAAGTGCAATAACCTGGCCTTTTAGCTGACATGAAAAATGTTTGCAAACTCAATAGGGCAACTGAAGTTAATCAAAACATTTGACTTACTCTAGTTCCAAACAGAACTGAGTAACTCTATATTTCAGGATGGCTAATTTCATAAATGCTATTTCATAAATTTTATTAAAGAAAAACCTGAATTAGATTCTATTTTAGAGATGTGATTAAGATCAGACAGAAATATAATAGGCTGAAGGAGACCACCAAAAGATAGTTCCTTATTAAAACAATTGTTCTGTCATCATGAAGACATAACCAATAACATTGAAGTTAACAATGATGTTTAATTCATTCTCTGGTTCTCTCTTTTTCAATGTGCAGTGTTATTCACAGAATGTACATGCAATTATATGCACACTCAATAAATTGTATGAATTGTATATTCAGGAGGACTGTACTGCAATGGACTAAACCCAGTTTTTTGGTTCATAGAGGGAAAAAAATCTACATCTGCTAAAAATAAAATTTCAGATTATACCTTATACCTGAAAGATGCTTTTCTTTCATGTAAGATAGTCCATCAATTGTCAAAACTATGAGGTGAAGCATTAATGATTACGAAATATCTGTAGCAAAGAAAATCCTACATTATGTAGGAAATAATACAGAGAACAGTTAACCTGATAGTAAGAATTTGTAAGTAGTAAGAATTCCTATCATTTTTTCTTTCTTATTTCTCTCTCTTTTCTGCACTTTTACTCTCTTTTCTTTCTTCTGAACAAACAAATTCAGGTCTATCTAAGTGAATCCCATGTGCAATAAATTTATTTAATGATTCAAAACAGTAATTAACAATGATGCTCTGTGGCAACAGACACGAATATCATGGGATGTTATTTATATATCAATCAATAAATCAATTAATAGTGCAAAAACGGGATTTCAGGACTGTTTAATCTGGACCTAAAATGATTGAGAGGACACAGAATATCACTATTAAGGTACATGAAAGAGTGTCATTGAAAGCTACATTCCCTTCTCACAGAACTAGGACCAGAAATAATGGGCATAATTAATTTCATTCAAATATAAGGAAAACCTTACTGCTGTAAGATAAGGTAGGTAGTAAAATTGAACAGTGCATTTATACTGGTTATAATTTCTCTATCTCTGCAGATATGTAAGAAGAATGTGAAGAGCCACCTCTCAATAATTATTTGATTGGTTTTCTTCTACATTATATGAGAGAGAGAGAGTTATACAACATTATACAATAGCAGAGTTGGAAGGGACCCTGGAGGTCTTCTAGTCCAACCCCTTGCGTAGGCAGGAAACCCTATACCTTTTCAGACAGATGGCTATCCAACATCTTCTTAAAGGCTTCTAATGTTGGGGCTTTCACAATTTCTGAAGGCAAGCTGTTCCACTGATTGATTGTTCTGTTAGGAAATTTCTCCTTAGTTCTAATTTTTTTCTCTCCTTGATTAGTTTCCACCCACTGCTTCTTGTTCTACCCAATTACACTGGATGGTCTTTGTGGTTCCTCACTTTCAGCTTTACAGTTCCATGGTTGTATGATTCAATGAACTTCAGAGTCAAAGGCAGAAAGATGCTTTGAGTTCTTAAATATTTAAATGTAGCACTTGACTGCAGCTCCTTAAATATGTCCAACTGCCTTCCACAGCTTCCACATAATCCTGGGAAAATAAGGCTTTGGTTTAAGGAGTTACAGACAGATGCTACATGGATTATTCCATAAGCTCCAAAACAGCTCTTTACCTTTATATCCAAAGTATTGTACAGATCTAAGGAAAATGCAAGTCCAGGGTAATTTATAGGTTTGCTATGATTTAAAAAAAAAATCTATTTGGATGATACATGTTTAAAATTGCAAGTACATTCTTTCTGTGGAGATTTCTTTTTCTCCAATCAGCAATATCATTTAATACAAGAACATAGCAGTTTTATTAAAAAATGGAAGGTGTGTTACTAACTCTACATTGTATTTTTATATGTTAGATAATAAAACCAATTAATTCTAATTTTATTAGGAAATATGCTTTCAAGAGACCATGAAATCATTAGAATGCAACCTAACAGGTCATCTCAGACACAAATGAAGCATTCATTAAACAAAAGTAGCAAAGCAGAAGTTGCTTAGTGGTTTTTTAAAAAAATGTACTTTAAACAAATATATTATCTTCATAAAACAGAACCATATTTTTCTGCAGTTTCTTGAAATCTGTGATCCGCTGAATAATGATTGACTCTATGATTCATAGACTCTAAGTTGCTAGCTCTGTGAGACCTTATCTTTTGTAGTCTTCACAAATGGTAAAACAAGCTCAAAACCAGATTGTAAGACATTCACTCTTTCCAAATTATTTACTATATATTTATAAGGGGGGGGGGAATCTACCCACAAAGAGAAACAGAATAATGTTGAAAATATGGAAAACAAATAATGAATTAATGAATTATATAGACATACATCAACAAATATTTTTTTGACATTTACAGATATACGGTTTACTACAGATTTTTTCCTAGAGAATGAAAGTGCCATGATTTTTCAACACATTATTAATATTTAATATACATATTTAGCCATGAAGTGGCAAATTGACTGACTTTTATTGATTAAAAAATGAAAACAGCTGTCCATTTCATGTGTACTCTTTATGTATAATTTGAAAGCTATCTTGAATACTTTCCAGATTAGAAAAATGGGTATAAATAAGATAAATATTTTTTAACCTTATGTCTTTATTTATTTATGTATGCCTATTTGTCCTTTGTTTATTTAATGATTTTATGCTAATTGTCTATGGAAATTCTACAAAAATCTTCATTGTGCAAATCTATTTACATTTTTTGAAAAAAAAATGAATTGAATGGGTTATGACTTTAATAGCATAAATAAATGTATGGCCAGATCTCTCTATGAAAGGAAGAAGTTGGTGGCCCATCACTACTCTTACCTGTACTCTGAGTGTGTGGCAGGGAGAGTTAGTAGAGTATGGTACAATGGAGCTGGACAGCAAAACTGGTGCAGAGTATTTATAGACCTACGACACAAGGAAAAACAAAGTCAACACACTGAGTGTTTAGTAAGGGGCTTTCTAATGGAAAAGCAGGTGCTGCTGATTACATCTGAGTTGTTTCACTCAGTTTTCATTTGATGAGAAGTAAAAATAAACTAAATCCTTAATTCCGATTCCAACAAGCATAACACTATCTGTATCAAAAATGAGAATGACAAATGACTGCAATGAAACTTTGAAAAGTCTCAAGGCATATTAAGATTTAAATGGCACTCTTTGGTAGCTTCAGTAGAATAATAGTAGCAAAGAAAAATGAATACGGTTTCTGGAAAAGTAGGAAAAATATATGTTTGGAATACTCTGCACCAGTGTAGCTGTTCATCTCATAGCTTTAGAATTCCATTGGCCCTAAGAAATTTAATGGGATATTGAATAATTACATACGTTTTAAATGCTTGTGAAACAAAATAAACTATATGTGATTATGCAATATCCTATTTTCTAGTATGTAAGGATATTGTGAATTCATTTTCAATAAGCCTTTAACCAGAAAAAAATAATTTCCAATATAAAGTTACAATTACATCAGTTTAAAAATGTAAGAAAATTACTCCAGCATTTGAAAACAAATGAAGTTGTGTCCAGTATATTCAATTCATTTAAAACCTGAAATGATTTATGACAAGATTAAAATATTACATATAATCACATTTTATTTTGTTCTCTCCTGTTGTTTTGCTTGCAGAATTTTCCCCAGAAGCTTCAAAATAAAATGTATTGAAGAGCAAGTCCTTTGAGGTCATCCTCTTATGAGATCAAAAAGAGGAATTAAGCAGGAATATGTTATGCTGTGAGTCTGCAGTAAGGGGAATTATATCAAGCTAATCTTTTTATACAAAAGTCAGGCTGCTCTGATTTTTTTCCATCCAAAGTTACATATGTACATCATAGCAAGGTAAATATTATTCAACATTCATAAAATTGAAAACAACTGGTTATGTGTAAACATTTTTAATGCTTTTATGTTTAGCAATAGGACATGTCTGCCAGTGAGCAGAAAAAATGAAATCCAAAAGAAAAACTGAATTCTTAGGTATTAGGATTTAGGAACAATATAAATATATCATGGGAGGAAGAGAAAATCCAAAAAGTTTGAATCCAGATATCATCCCATCAAAAGCAACAAGCCTTCCCTCCCACTATCTCCTTTGGAAATACTCACAAAGTTTCACAATGATATTAATTGGGGAAGTGAGTTTACAGGTTAGGCAGAGAAACTCCCTGTGTGTGTCAAATGAAGGTTTCAAATGAATTTGTGTTATTAAGAAAAAATACATTTTGCAACATTGTTAGACATAGAATAATATTTATTCTACATATATACAAACGTACACTTATAGACAGAATATCCTAGTAGAAAATGGTCTTTCAGAACATCTAGTCAAAAACTTGCCCATTGCAAAACTGGCCCATTGCAAGATTCCATTAAATCATTTCAGACCATCCCTGAAAGACAGTTGTCTAGCTCACATTTGAAAAACATAAGCAAGAGGGTGCTATCATATTTTAGATAGATTGTTCTACCATTTAAGAATATCACGAGGAAATTCCTTCAACTATTCAGCGAGGTTACTTCCCCCCACAATTTAAACCAGTTGTCACCTTCTCGGTTGTAACAGAACAAATCAACCCCTTCTATCATGTGGCATTTGTAGACCACTGTTATATCTCTGTACAGTTTTTTTTCTTTTGTAAGCAAACATGCTTTTAACATGCTTTAACCTCAGGTTAGGTTTCCAAGACCCTTATCATCCGGTACCTCTTGTCTGAATGCATTCCACTTCTCAATGTCTCTCTTAAGACAACAATAAAAAAACCCATGGTTTATCCGAATGCTTTACTAATGATTTCAATTTAATATTTTTTTAAAAAAATTCTCAAAATGTTTATTTTAACAATAATGTGAGTCTTAATTCCAAACAAATATCTGTTTATTTCTACAATTATTTTAAACATGTTTCATTCTGAAGTACCTACAGTGATACAATGGGCAATAAAACTGAGAAAACAAAAACAAAGTGGAAAGTTTGGTTAAAATTTACTAGTACACTATCTAGAAAGGAGTTAGCCTCAGAAGAATTTCACATTTCACATACAATCGGTATTTATTTCCATCACAGACTATCAGCTGCCTTACTATTTTCAGATTCACTATCATTGCCTTAGATGCACCTTACATTCTCATTTCCTGTGTTCACATGAAATGTAACAATGAAACGTTAATGGTGTGAAACTTGACACAAAGACTCTTAGATCATTCCTTTATACTTATACTAAAATACCCAGCTTTTTAAAAAAAGCTTTTCTTAAAAAACCTCCCCATTTTAATGGTTCTAATTTTATCATATTTATCTCCTCTCTATATATAAATATTTCTACTATTTGAAATCATTATTGAAATATATATTTATAATCATACCAATTAAATAATAAAATAATTTCCTAGAACTGTTCCATAAGACTGAAGTATATTAACAATTTGTTTGTAATAAAAACAGCACCAATGCAAATTAAAAAAATACATATTTTACATCTCTGTGAATGCTTTATTTTTGCATTTGGCCATTCCTCTGAATTGAAATCAGCTTTTAATGAAAAGGAATTCTAGTTATAAGCAAAATTTGACATAATTCTGGTTTCTAGTTTATGTTTTTTTATTTATGTATGCATAATTTGAGCAGGGAATTGGACTAGAAGATCTCTAAAGTCACTTCCAACTCTGTTATTCTATTAAATTATTCAATTTTTTCATTTAAAATGCATCAAGGCTGTCCTGAAAGCTGACATAATTGACATCAAATTAATAACATAGTTTACCTTCTTAAATCATGTATCAATAACACAAGATAATCTCTGCAGATAAATTTATATATTTTGGCTGCAATCGCCTTTATAATAACTCATACATATGTAACTGTTATGATGAGTCATCATGGGGAAGTTTCCTAAATACAAATATTTGAAACAAAACACTGATTTTGCTTCATATTTACACAGAACCATGACCATATTTTTCCTCTTAGGTCAAAATATCAGAGCACTACACTATAGTTTAAGAGAACCCATGTGGTTCCATCAAGCTTCTATTTCACAGTCACAGTCAAGGAACCAAAATGTTACCTGCACAATCACATGCTCACAGCTCACTGCAAGTTAAGGCTAAAATATATCTTGGCTTTGATAAATGTTAATAAGGATCTGAAGCTAATTTCAGAGCCCTGTTATCTGGTTTTCTAGAAGTATAATTAAGCCTGATATTCTTCTTCTTCTTGTGCCATATCCGCCATCGGACGTTGGCGATCATGTTGGCAATCCTATTTTTGTCAAGCCTGATATAGTTGAACCAAACAGAAAAACTTAAAAGCAGGAAAACCAAGATAACTCTCCTCTTACAATGTTATATAGGCAGAATGGTTAAAACCTGATATGGTTTCATAAATTGTCTTTTTAACACTAAATCAAAATACAAATGATATATATATGACACAAATCATATTCCCAGTCACCCCTGTTAATAGTCCTCGCTTAATCATTTGAAGATTCTATTGTTTGACATTGATAATACTGACAAAATTAGTATTGTGAAAATGACTACAAGGAAAATAGAAACTAAATTTACAGTTCATTAAGAATGGAAAAAATCTATATTCATATCTATCCCAAATTCAAGCCACAGAAATTAAGATAATATTCAACAGCATGCCCAATTTTACATAAAGGGGTATAGACAATATATCAAGCAGCCTACATTTTTGTATGCAATTTCCTACTTCTTCTTGAGTTGTTAAAAAAAGGGAGGGGGAAGCCAGCCCTGAATTTTATTAACACCTAGTTATGCTTTTGGGATAATTTAAATAGAACACATTAGCCACATATTGTCACCAGCATCTGGTACTGAAGCATCTGGTTATTCAAAGTATTGTAGCATCATCTTGAATATGAAGGATACGTGCCATGGAATTTTTCACCTATGTATGTGAAAGTAACAGGAAACAGAATGTATGTATCCTACAATAATCTTAACTGGAATTTTGCACACTGTGGACATAAAGTGAATATTTATGCAGTGTCTCATTGCAAATTTGCAAAATAGACCTGCAAATTAATGTGAGTTTCTACAATAAAGTGGTTTTAGCTGTTATCACAGTTGGAGAACAGAATAGGGCAATGTTCGGTGGCCTTGTTCAAACAAATGTATTTATCTGACTTGACAATGCCTATGCATGTAATCTGTTTATTAAATCTGGTTCATATAAGATCCAACATATGCTAAATTGTCTATATTTCACCTTCCATACAATGACTGTACAAATAACTTTTCTGTAAAAAGGGTATACCATAGCTTGCTATGTTGTTCAAAGGCAGCACTATTGGAACACATAAATGATATGGATGAAAATGAATGGTATGCCTTGATTTTATTACATAAATATTATAAAACATACTGTACATAATAATGTGTCCACACAAACTTTATGTACTTGTTTTGGCTTACATGCCCTATTAGAAACAATTCACCAAGCCCAACTGTATTGCTATTAGATATAAAAATTCTGTGTCAGAAATCTTTAATTCAGAACTACCAGTTTGCTTTATGAATCATTACTATATAACACATCCTTTAAATGTCTAAATGTGAAATATCTACCATCTTTTCTTGAACAAATGTAAATATCTCAAAGGAAAAAATATCTATTCATGGAAATTTAATTAGAATCTATTACTTTTGTTGTTGCTGTTACCAACAGTTATAAAATAGGCATGAACTCTTAACATCATTTGATTAGACTATTTTTATGAGATATATTTACAATGGTTATTTTTATCTGCCAGTTTTAAATAGATCATAACCAGAGGCAAAATGAGAGCAAATGAACAGACATAAAATCCATTATTTTAGATTTAAAACCATGTTGAAGCTATATCTGGAAATTAATCACAGCAACAGAAAC